CTGTTAAATGCTGGTTAATTGTAGGAATGTTATCTCTCTGCTGTTGCATCTTTATCTTTCTGTTCTGTTTAATTATTTGCTTTGCTTAGTGGTTTTTTCCTTTGTGTATCTAAACTGTCTTTCAATATTTTTTGCAGGGTTGGCTTGGTGCTCATGAAGGTCTTCAGCTGTTCTTTGTCATGGAAGTATCGTATTGCACCATCTATTTTGAATGATAGTTTTGCAGGATATATCAGTCTTGGTTGGAAATCATTTTGCTTTAGGATCTGGAATACTTCACTCCATGCTCTTCTTGACTTTATCATCTGTGCTGAGAAGTCTGCTGTGATTCTGATAGGTTTTCCTTTATAAGTGATCTGTCTTTTCTCTCTGACAGCTTTTAATAATCTATTCTTGTGTTGGATTTCTGGGATGGTGATTATTATATGTCTGGGTGTAGTTTTATTTCAGTTATGACTGTTTGGAGTTCTATATGCCTCACTGATCCTGATGTCAGTTTCTGATCTCATGCTTGGGAAATTTTCAGCTATTACTTCTCTAAATATCCTCCTGACATCCTTCATGTTGTCTCCCTCTCTTTCATTAATCCCTATCATTCTTATGTTATTCTTCTTTGCATCGTCTTGCAGTTGTTGAATTGTTGTTTCCTGATTCCTTGTTATTTTTAAAAGATCTTTCCTTTCCTGTTCACTAGCTGCAATCCTGTCTTCAAGGTCTGAAATTCTATCTTCACTTTCATTAAGGCGGTTTTTACAACTTTCAGTGGAGTTTTTTATTTCCTGTATATCTCTGTGCATCTGCATTATGTATTCTGTTTGTTTCTTATATTGCTCGTCTAGGGATTCTATCTTTTTGTTTAGTTCCTCCAATTTTTTATCTGTGTTTTCTTTAGATATATTTAGGATCTCTTTCATTTCTTTTATCATTTCTTCTTTTATCTGGGAGATTATTTCGAGTTTGAATTTCTTTAAAGCTTCCTGGAGTTGCTTGTCAATTTCAGTGGCTATTGTGTCCGATATATGAGGTGGATGGGATATATTTTCTTCTATATACATCGCTCCTAGGGTTTCTTGAGATGGGCTGGAGGTTTGAGGTTGTAATTTGGTCTTTCGTTTTGTCATTTTCCTATATTTCTGTGTTTCAAGTGTTATTTGAAAGCTTCCTCAGGATCTGTTGAAAATCCCCTTCTATGTTTGGAGCTACTGAGACTCTGGCGCCACACTACTCCAAGCCATTGGGCCTACAGAACCAATGGCCCTCCTCTGCCGCTCCGCAGTTCCAGACAAGCTGGGCCTCAGGGACACTGTGCGCCCACCTGCCCCTTGGAAGCTCCACAGTTCTTCAATCGCAGCCGGGTTAGGGTACTCACCACAGGTCGCAGTGCTTCAGGAACCTGTGGACCCTCCCTGGTTGCAGAGATATCCACAGTCCTCCAGACACATGGAGAGGCCGATGCAGGCACCCCAAATCTGCCCAGCTCCTCCTCTGCAGACCAATGGCTAGGCACAGCAGCTAAAGAGGCTGGGTTAGGCTGATAGTGTGGGCCCGCCCACCAGTCGGTAGCTCAGCAATTCTCCAAGTATAACCGGAATGGGGAGGCTGATGTGGAAGCCTCAAACCCACCTCTCCCCTTCACTGCACCTGGAAGCCTGGGGGAACTCCAGCAGTCTGGGCGCAGATATCCAGAGTCCTCCACATACGCAGAGAGGCCGGTGAGGGCACCCCAGATCTGCCCAGCTCCTCCTCTGCAGACCTATGGCCAGGCGCGGCTGCTAAACAGGCTGGGCTAGGCTGGTAGTGTGGGCCAGCCCACCTATCGGGAGCTCAGCAGGTCTCCAAGGGAAGCCGGAATCGGGAGGCTGATGTGGAAGCCTCAAACCCACCTCTCTCCTTCACTGCACCTGGAAGCCTGGGGGAACTCCAGCAGTCTGGGCGCAGGTATCCAGAGTCCTCCAGACACGCAGAGAGGCCGGTGAGGGCCCCCCAGATCTGCCCAGCTCCTCCTCTGCAGACCTATGGCCAGGCGCGGCAGGCAGCTAAACAGGCTGGGCTAGGCTGGTAGTGTGGGCCAGCCCACCTATCGGGAGCTCAGCAGGTCTCCAAGTGAAGCCGGAATTGGGAGGCTGATGTGGAAGCCTCAAACCCACCTCTCTCCTTCACTGCACCTGGAAGCCTGAGGGAACTCCAGCAGTCTTGGCGCAGAAATCCAGAGTCCTCCAGACAGGCAGAGAGGCCAGTGAGGGCCCCCCAGATCTGCCCAGCTCCTCCTCTGCAGACCTATGGCCAGGCGCGGCAGGCAGCTAAACAGGCTGGGCTAGGCTGGTAGTGTGGGCCAGCCCACCTATCGGGAGCTCAGCAGGTCTCCAAGTGAAGCCGGAATCGGGAGGCTGATGTGGAAGCCTCAAACCCACCTCTCCCCTTCACTGCACCTGGAAGCCTGGGGGAACTCCAGCAGTCTGGGCGCAGATATCCAGAGTTCTCCAGACACGCAGAGAGGCCGGTGAGGGCCCCCCAGATCTGCCCAGCTCCTCCTCTGCAGACCTATGGCCAGGCGCCAAAATAATGTATTTCCAAGACAAGGAGAAACTGTGGTAGTTCATGGCCACCAACCCAACCCTATAGAGACTACTGAAGCACATTCTAGACAGAGGAAGGAATACCAGAATTCCAACAACAGTGGCAGAGAGGCCTCAATTAATGGGGTAGGCAGTGGAATGATGGAGTAAGGTGGACAAATTATAGCAGTAAAGTGGAGTAGCAGACATGAGGCAGAAACAGTACGCTATAAGCTTTAGTATAGGTAGCTTTGATACCGTATATAAAAAAGACAGGGGTCATTTTTAATAGTGTATCAGGATTTAAAAGTCACAGTAGTCGTATCACTCTGTTTAGCTTGAATTAATTTGTCCCAGTATGTCCACTCATATCAGATTTGAGGGCACAGACATCTGACCCAAAAATAGCAGGTTATACCATGGTAACTATTCTTAATTTCCTATTACATTAAACTGAAACCCTGTATTACTTACATTGTCTTACTATGATGAATCTTATTTGAATCTGATTGGTTAGACTGTGGTTTCATCTTGACTGATTTTATTTGAATTTGGTATGCTTGATGTATCAACCATAACCGTAGAGGCAACTACTCTCTAGATGACAAAATGTAAAAGATATCCACACTGATTTTGATTATTAACAGCTCTCAAGTCTTACAATGTTTTCAAATTGTGTTTTTAGAAAAATAGCTATGTAATACTCTGCTTAACTATATTAAGCCTGATGATGTGGACAAATCTATTGAAAATAACAAGGGGAGGAACAGTAACTATGGTAGATCACCTAATATTGTGGTCTTATGTGTTCTTTTCATTGCATGTTTTTCTAGGAATTTGTTTTGCTGTCTTGTTATGATTTGTCTTTCCCTGTAATACAGACAGGATAGATATACACATAGAAATTCACACATGGGAAGATTTTTTAAAACTATATGCAGGGACATATTATATAATGCAAGATGTAATGAACAGATACTCTGAAGGAGAAGAGACACTAAGAAACACAATGTTAATTCTGTACCATTATGATATAAAATCTAGCAATACTATTATTCACTGTCCAGAGTGATATTAGTCTAGTCTCTTAACTTGAATTTCACCATATGTAAAGATCAGGACAGCTACAATGAAGAGAATGAGAGACACTATGGTAGTTGTTATTGTGTCCCCCAATGTCAGATCTTGAAGATCTAAAAAGCCTTCATCATCTTTTAATGATTTGATTAGTTCTATAATATGCAGTATGTATTTAAAGTGTGCAAAGATGGGGACAATTATTTGGTAAGAAACTAGAGACAATTAGATAAACAGTGTAGATTTCCAGTGGACTTGCTTTGAAATCTGTATTTCTTTTAATTGTTTATTTTTGAACTGTTTTGATATGTTTAATCTTACCCTCTTTAATATAAAAATCAAGTATGTAGGACTGATAACCATATTACTAAGTTTTTGTTAGGTCATTGAGCAGAACTGTTGGCAGTGTCACTATTTGAATGTCACTTTACATACTTTAATTTTGTAACCTGGACAACTATTTTTAAGATAACTATATGTAAGTTATCAACTGGTGATTCCTTACCATTTATTTTCTGTAATTCAGTATTATTTCTATCCCTTTTTTTCTCCATGTATTTTTTGTTTCTTTCTCTTTAAATAATAATTTAAAAAAGAATAAATTTATAGTAGCTAAGCTATGGTATGGGCCCAGATGCCCATCACTGGTTGCCAAGGTAAAGAAAATGTGGAGTCAGCTCATAATGGTAGTATGTCCTTGCAATCCCAGCACTCTGGGAGGCTGAATCAGCAGGATGCCCACCTGATGCTCAGGCTGAGAAAGTTCATGATCAATGAGAATCTTTCTCATAAAAAGAAATAATGCATCAGCAAATTTACTTCAGTCTAAGACCTGTGTTAAACTCTACACTGAAAAAAATATGCTATACAAGGAACAATATGGCTGTTTCTGTTTCTCAAGGAAGAAAAATAGTTGCACTTAATTGAAAGAAATCAGACACAGTAATAGAAATATCACAGGTTTGCTCTTAAATGGGAAATTAATAGCATATAAGAGGAGTAAAAGTAAAGAGAGATAATATAAGACCAGAAATCCTTACTTTCTATAGAAAAGAAAAATGATCAGGCTAAATAGATGCTGGGGAGAATGAAGACATGAGGAGCTAAAAAAATGATAAATATTTGGTAGTCATTTGTACCAATCTTTAAATGATATTATGTATCAAAATGGTATACCAATTTAAAATTCTCCAATGAAAACCATCCTCTTTAGAATGAATAGTACTTTGAAAGTAGTACTGCAGCACAGTGAGTCAGTTAATTGTCAGAATTACTTATGCATCAAACCAGACTAGTCATCATAAATATCATTTGTTAATGAGGAGCTTTTCCCATTGTGATTGATATTTTTCTTTGTATTTTTTACAGATATGATGAAGACAATTGTATAAGATTTGAACAACAGCAATATAAATGTAATGAAGATGTAGAGACCTGCAGTGATTTCCAGTCCTTTCAGAAGCATGAAATGAGGAAGATTACAAAAATACTCTGTCAATATGGACAATATGAAGCGGTCAGATGTGATCTTAGTGAACAAACTCACACTGGGCAGAAAATCTTTGTAGGTAAAAGTGTGAAAGCCCACAAAACACCTAACAGTGTTCAAATCAACAAGACACACCACAGTTTGAGAAACTCGGATGTACAAAAACACTATGAATATAGTTCTGTTTCTTCATCCAATATTGAAAATCATGTTAGAAAATATGGTAGAGAGAAACATCATATAACTGAGAAATGTGCAAAAGCAGTATCTCACAGTAATTTCTTTAAAAAACATAAGAAACTTCACACTGGAAAGCAACCATGTGAATGCAAGAAATGTGGGAAAGCATTCAGTAAACACAGTAGCTGTCAAAGAAATAAAAACAGTCACACTGGGGAGAAACCCTATGCATGCAATAAATGTGGGAAAGCAGTTAGTACAGCCTCTGCTTGCAAAGCACATGATAGAACTCAAACTGGGGAGAAACACTTTGTATGTAAGCAATGTGGGAAATCTTTCAGTCAAAAAGTTAGTCTTATTACATGAAAGAATTCACACCGGAGAGAAACACTACGTATGCAACAAATGTGGGAATGCATTCAGTAAAGCCTCTGCTTGTAAAGCACATGATAGAACTCACACTGGAGAGAAACCTTTTGTATGTAAGCAGTGTGGAAAAATCTTTCAATCAAAAATATAGTTTTATTAGACATGAAAGAATTCATACTGGGGAGGAACCCTATGGATCCACCTAGTGTGGGAAAGCACTCAGAAGAGCCTCTTTTTTCAAAGCTCAAAAAAGAATTGACATGGGTGAAAAACACTTTTTATCTAACAAATGTGAGAAAACATTTATTATAGTGACTAGTTGTAAATTACATGATAGAATTCACTGTAGAGAGAGACCCTATGTGTGTATACAGTATGGAAAATCTTTCAGACAAAGTGGTAACCTTAGTATACATGAAAGAATTCACACTGGGGAGAAACCCTTTGTATGTGAGCAGTGTTTCAAATCTCTCAGTCAGACTTCTACCCTTCTTCATGAAAAAACTCAAACTGGCTAGAAGCTGTATGGATACAACCATTATGGTAAAGCATTCAGTACGAAGAGGTGATACATAAACCTTAACTATCTATGTAAGCAATTTGGGATGTCTTTCAGCTATAGTAGTAGCTTTTGTGTATATAAACCATTCACTCTGTAGAAAAACCCTAGCTATGTGAGAAATGAGTAAGTAGATTTGTTGACAAATTTGCCCTTCATAAACATAAATGATCACACACTGGGGAAAAAACCTATGAAAATAAGGAGTGTAGGAAAACTTTCCACAACTAGAGACATTGTTGCTACATGACAACTCCATCTGTGTAGTAATTCTATGCATTTCAACAGTGGTTGACAGGATTTAGTGCACAAAAATGCCATCAAATAGAGGAGTAATGCACACAAGGAAAAAACTATGTATGTAGGCAGTGTGGAAAAGATATGTTGGTTGCAGTGTTTCCCTTTTCCAAACATAAGATTCCTTCACACTAGGGAGTAACTGCACATAAGAAATATTTGGAAAAAGTTGAGGTGACATAGGTGCTTACTTTCTGAGTGATGTCATATTGTGGCCTGAGCCTATGTATGCAATGTGGGAAAGCATTCAGTATAAATGGTAATTGTCAATCCTGTGAAAATAATAATAAAATGAAATCATGTACATAAGTGACCATTTTGAAAATAATTCATAAATTACTCATGGAGAGGAGAGCTATAAAAAATAATATAAAATTAGTGCTGTAAATACATGTTCACTGATTTCTTTTGAAAACACCCTCCAGCACAGTTATCCAAAAATGTATTCTTTCTTCTTTTACAAATCAAACAAATATCTGATCTGTTTTTGTAGTCTTAATAAAAAGTCCTGTGTTTAAAGGAAATTTAAGTATGCTGAAACTTTTTTCCCATGTTTTTGATCCACCGTTATTTTGATTTATTGAATGACACCCAATTTTCTCATGACTGTTTTCCCTACCAGAATCTGTAAATCTTGTGTCAGTATACCCTGAATGATGGAAACATTCATATACAAAAATGTGCTTCTATTCATGGCCTGTATCTATGTAGCCATGCTTATCGTAAGATATACCAATACAAGATCTAAAGCAGAGTCAGTCACTGTTAGAAATAAGAATGAACATAAATTAGGGAAAAATCTTATGTGTGCAACAAATATGCAAAAATGTTCAGTACACAAAAAGTTCTAAAATACATGATAGAACTCTCAATAGAGAGAAATCTTATATAGGTAAACAATGTGGGAAGTCTTTCAGTCAATATTATAACCCTGTACATGAAATGAGTTCTTTCCTCTGTTTCTTGCTCATCTCCGTTTTTGAATGATGTATGCTCCTACTTCCTATTACACATCATGTACTTTTATACAAATTTAAACTCTGTCCATCTTGTATTACATCAGTCACTTATGAGTAGCAGAATCCCAAATATGCAAGTGAATCAAGATTTCACAGAAGTTCCTAAGGTTCAAAGGAAAATGAATGAAATATAATTCCCAGGATAGTAATGGTGTCATATCATGACACCAAAAAGAAAGTCACCAGTGTGCAATAAATAAGGGTGATAATCACAAGTATGCAAATTAAATACATGAGAATTATAGAAATACATTTTTTTCTGTGAAACAGTCTTGCTATGAAGTTCAGGCTGGACTTGGGCTCACTTTTAAATCTAGACTGATCTTGGGGTCACTTTGTATCTAGAATGATCTTAGGCTCACTTTGTAATTCACTCTGATCTTGAACTTGTTGCAATCCTTCCACCTTAGCCTTCCAAGTCCTGGGGTTACAGGCATGCACCACCATGCCTAGGTTGTAGCAATATATAGTTATTTGTGTAACTTTCCATGTTAATAATATATAACTCTCCCTATTCAAAATATACTTTAAGGTACTTGGCATTTCTGCATACTCAATCCTGAGGTTAAATATTGCTGACAAATTACTACAATGTAGTTACTGCTTTTATTTCCTTATTTTAGAATTTTATCATGTTTTAAATGAAATGGTTCAAACATAGGCAAGGTGGAGATTTCATATAATTTAAGCAATCTGGAAATTTGAGGCAAGAGAATTTCAACTTTGCAATTTAAACCCAAGCTTAGCTACTTGAAACATAGTGAAAACTTGTCTATAAATAAAAAAGAGTGCTGGGGAGATAGATCAATATAAATGTCCTGGATTCCAGTATCATCCATGAAAAGTTAAAATAGGCCTTATTTCCTGATAGGGCAGTAAAGCCACTGGCCTCATCTCACACTCTGAGTAGACCTGGCCTGTTTTTACCATCCCACCTAAGAGTTTAGGAGTAAATTTCAGAATACATACCCTCAAATCACCAGAATACAGTTTCCACCCTACTTACTGTACGTAGGTATAAAATTGCAAAACATACAGTTATTCAACCCCTGCTATGTAAAGACAAGAGCAACCTCATTTTAAGTGCAGTAAGTCCTTGTGGAGCATTTCAGCACTCCATATGTCATCCAAGAATGGAACCCATCACTTTGCTAATCAGTACACATTTTGGATCAATTCCCTCTGCCTTGAGTCTCAAATATTTGGTCTTTCTTCACTAGCTATTTGGTGATTCAGGAAGGCTGTGTGCATTGTCAACTGGAAAGAGGCACAGGGATATCAGGACAATTCATTATGTGGAGTCTTCCTTTTATTTTTGCCACCATGATTTGGACCCAGAGGCATGTGCTGAAGAAAAGCCTTTGAATTTGAGCCTGGCTTCTGGATGACTTCCTCGGAGAGCAGGAATCAAACACAGAAGCAAACAACCTAGAGGCTAGAAATGTAAGTGTGGGGCCAGGTATTCTGAGCTGGATAAGGATTGAGTATGTGTTATCTGATGAAGTTGGAATCTCATGAAATCTGTGAAGTTTGTGATCTGACCTCTGTACTAGATTCAATCTGTGCCATGAGGCTTGACTGGCAGTGGAGACCCTAGTGCCCTGTCCTTTTCCTGCTTCATCCTCAGCCTCATGCAAATTGGCACCCTTTCAGCAAATTCTCCTGCAGCTCTGTGTCCTGACATTCTGTATGGTGACTTCATTGGTACATGTGGAGTCTACAGGTTCATCTGCAGTTTCTACATAAAAAAGTATTTTTTTTCTCCATGCCTAGTCACTCTTGTCTAAGATCTGTCCTGATTGCTCTGCATTTACTGAATATTTTGGAAACAAAAATGTCAAGTTCATGAACTGAATACACAACCAAGCATTTATAAGGTAGGAGTTAAATTTCTATTTTCTAGATCATTTCCACATGGACATATACAACACATGTGACTGGGTTTCCAGAGACTGTGGAGACTGTTTCCTTCTCTGACTCTATATGTGCCATGGAGTGCTTTTTAATGTTGTTTCACAAACATGAATACTGGCTGAGTTAGAAAATGATTCAGTGGAAATAATACAGAAATTTGGAAATACACAGAATATGTACTGTAGTAGCATCTTTATCATAGGCAAAAATAAGCACAAAAGAACTTTGAACACAATAGTGTAGGACATAGGGAATGATGGAGCATGGCAATATCAACTCTGGGATCAAGGAAGGTCTTCTTCAGGTCAGCCTTTCTAGGGTGAAAATAAACATTGGGTCTTGACATGACTCATGATGAGAAGAGATCATAGTCCCTACATCTGAAGATCCAATGGAAATTTAGGGGATACCAATCCTTCAATCATTTTATTCACAATGCTGAATTCAAACAGTTGAATTTTGGCAAGAAAGAACCTGGGTGTCACAAATCCAGATGTGAGAGAATGGTGTGTGTGTGTGTGTGTGTGTGTGTGTGTGTGTGTGTGTGTGTGTTCATCTAACTATCATCTAACTCTAGTAGGGAATGATTTGTTTCTCCAAACCAAAATCAACTGGAGTTTTTAATCTTTGCTAGATGGATAGCTGAATGGCAGTATTAAGCTAATTAAAACAGAGGGCTAGGGATTTAGCTCAGCAGCATAAATGCCTGCCTTGCAAGCATGTAGTAATGAGTTCAATCCCCAGTACCAAAGGAAAAGAAAATAGATCATTAATACATCTTTCCACATACATAGAACCTCTAAATGATTTTATAAGTTCATGTAAATTACACAGAATATTGTATTACATTTTGATGCCTTTAGCCTGTATACAACATACACTGGTTTTTATAGAAGTTACAATATTATTTATTTTTACAATTGAATTATACTTAATAATCATGTACATCACAGATAGATTGTTCCTGTACATGATGTATCTTGATTCCTCCTTTTTTCATTGCCTTTTACTCTCTACAATTGCTCTTTTCCTTCTTATTGTCAATGATTTGTTCTGGTTTTTTCCATCTTTTCTCATTTTTCTCCTTTGTTTCTTTCCCATTCTTCTTCTCTAGTTTTCTTTTGTTTTTGAACAACTGTTTCTATTTCATTATATATATTTTGCATTTGCTTTCTGCTTACAATTGCAAATCCTCTCACCAATGAGACATTGTAAGCTTTATACAAGTTCTTGTCATTTATTTCACTGAAAGACATTGTAAACGGTCCATTATTGTAGCTTTTAATGTCTGAAGTGTATCCTTAATGGCTAAGCATTAGGCCATTTTATAAAATAGTCATGTCTTTTTATATCTTCATCAGTTTGTGTGCATTTGGGGTGTTCCCAATTTTAGGTATTATAAAATGTTGTCTTATAAATATGGGTACATATACATCACTGTGGTAAAATGTATTAAATTATTTTGGGAAGATACCAAGAGAGATAACAGTTGCCATGAGTCCTGTAGTACTAGATTTGTTTTTAGGAATGTGTGCAATTGTTTTCCAAAGTGGTGTGTCTGGTTACAAGTCTATCAACAGTGAAGAGGGATTTCTTTCTTTCCTACATTCTTCATTTATTGGTTGTGTTCTTGATCATTTCTCTTTTTCAGGTGTTAAATGGAATCTCAGAGTTGTTTTAATTTGCATTTAAAAGGCAAATACATGGAACTTCTCTGCAAATACTCATTTGACAGTCTTATTTTGTCAGCTGAGAATTGATAGTATCAAGTTTGAGGGTATAGGCAACTACTTTGAATGTGATAAAATTAACTATGATGCCCATTCGGGTTTGACTATTATCTTCTTTTGAAGTCCTGTAATGTCTCCAATCTTTAGGTTGTATTGGTCTTGTTCTGTACTGTTTTGTTCAATTTTATTATACCTTGTGATATAGGCAATTCTTTTTAAGGTTGCAAGAGGCATTATGATAACCATTGTTGATTACCTTGTATTCTGTTTTTACACCATGTACTTATATCCATGCTTTGTTTTGACAGACTGCTTCGTTTTGTCATATTTGAATTTATTCTCTTCCCCTAAAAAAGTAATAAGAACTATGGGAGTAATAAAACCCAAAATGTATAAATGTTATTGTAAAAAAATGAGGAAAAGAAAGTGCTCTAAAGGATACAAATGCAAGTGTGTTTAGGTGTGTAAGACAAGTGACCATATTACTAAGTTTGTTGGATTGTTGAATACAACTACCTGCAGTCTCACTGTTTGAATGTCCACTTTGTATGCTTTAATCCTGTGACTTAAATAACTATTTCTAAGATGAAAATTTGTAAACTATTGACTACTGATTTCTTACTGTTTATTTTTTTGAAATTCTATATTACTTTTACCCTTATACTGTTTTGTGTTTTTTTCCCTTAAATAATTTTTTTTAAAAAATGGCATATTCATCTCAGATATCCATTTTTTGATTCAGTCTTTAAATTTGGATGTTCTGATTTTCTCCAATTTTATGTATGTTCCAGATATTAGTCCTTTGTTTGAGAGTAAAGATCCAAAATTATTTTCCCAGTCAATAGGGTTTTTTTTTTTTAC